GTGTTGGTATTCGAAAAAACAAGATGGGACACGAATGACGTTTTTTTGGCCAGAAATAAAAACAGTGTGAAAATACCTTTCTACTGAGATCCCATAAGTCTAAATCAGAATATTTTCGGCTCAGTTATTCAAGTTTTTCGTAAACCAATCTTTGAAAAAAGAAAAAAAAACAGCATCAAAAATCTCATTCTTACGATTTTGTTGAAAAGATTTTTAAATATTTTTATGCCGGTTTTTTAAGCTTAATCTAATTTGTGATATGAGAGGGCTTTTTTCAAAAAGTTCTTTAAGAAACTATTTTTATTCATAAAAAACTTCATTTTTGGAGGTATTTTCAAATCGGTCCAGCTCGCTTAAATCTTAATATTTTTCCGAAATATTTTGGTGGACGTCTTAAAATATAATAAATTTTGTAATCCCGGTGGAAAACCCGCAACTTTTTTTGGTGATGCAGTCTAATGTATATACATATATTTATTTAATTTAATAGTATTTTGTTTAAATATATGTATGTAATTTTGCTCCTATTTATTGAGTTCATTTTTATGATTTCTTCTCCCTCGTGGTAGTAAAACTGCTAAGTAAAATTAGTGCTGCCAACTCCCATAAGAATGATCTAGATCGCTGCCATGACAATTGATCATGGTACTGAACTGATGAAAAGAAAAACTGACTATGTGGCTTGATAAAGGCCGATATTTTCATGTATTTCAAATATACCAAAACTCAGAATGAAAGAGTAATCGATTACGCGATGTATGCACATTTGGGTGGTCCAAAAAAGCACGAGAAAAAGTAAAGTCGGAATTTGAATGCTTTCACCCCCTAGGATTGTTCTATACCGAAAAAAATATAACCCTTATATTTTGAAATCAAAAGAATTTAGAGGTCGCTAAAAGCGCTCAAAGTTTTCCATGTATTTTATATGGTGGAAAACAACTTTTCGTAAAAATGGTATAGAATTCTTGAAAATGAATATTTTTCGATCGGAAAACTCTTTAGAAGATTCCCAGTAGTAATACCCAATTATTATTTATCTTTTTAAAAGTAACCATATTTTATAGGTCCGCCAAAACCCCCAGAAAATCCCAGAACATGCTGTGTGCAGGATTAAAAAATGGTTAAATAAATAATTGGTTATTGTTATTGGAAGTCTCCTGAAGAGAACTAGAGTGTTTCGATCGAAAAATATTGATTTTCATCTCCTTTGGTGGAAAACTAAACTAAAATACGACAAATTGACAGCTCTGGCCCGCAAATATTTGAGCGATCCTCCCGCCAGCGTTCCAAGTGAACAATTGTTCAGTGCTGCCGGCCTTAGATAGGAGCCTCTAAGAAATCGCCTCATGGGAGAAAAGGCAGTAAAATTACTTTTTTTGAAATATAATATTTCCCTTTTGAACTTTGACTACTAGATTTAAACACTGTATAGGTTAAGCACTCGTTCAATGTTCTAATCATTTACAAAACTTTTAAATAATAAAATCGATGACTTATGCCATGTTCTGACCGACATCGAAAACATGTTTTCGTTGCTAAAACTGGTTTTCGACCTAAAACTTGTGTTTTCGTCCATGTAAAATCTGTCAAACGAAAACCAGTTTTCGCTGAAAATTACTTGAAAACTCACGTTCCACCCATTCCAATTGGTGTCTTCACTAGTTTTTTTCGATTATTTATCGAAGTGGAAGTCATATTTTATCATCTTTAATACGCTATTTCGGATTTAATGTTAATTGGCTGGCCAAAGTAAAATAAGAATGAAAGTAAGAGGTTGGTAATGAAAAGAAAATGAGGGAAAATCATTTTGGTTTGTTCTTTGCGTAGCAAACCTCTAATCAGAGGATGTAAGAAATGTCAACGAAAACACTAACAGCCGGTGTGAACAGTCTTCAGCCCATGAGCCCAAAACTCGTTTTCAAAGTGTTTTCGTTGTCGGTCAGAACATGGTATTAAATTGAATTTAGTTGNCGATGACTTATGCCATGTTCTGACCGACATCGAAAACATGTTTTCGTTGCTAAAACTGGTTTTCGACCTAAAACTTGTGTTTTCGTCCATGTAAAATCTGTCAAACGAAAACCAGTTTTCGCTGAAAATTACTTGAAAACTCACGTTCCACCCATTCCAATTGGTGTCTTCACTAGTTTTTTTCGATTATTTATCGAAGTGGAAGTCATATTTTATCATCTTTAATACGCTATTTCGGATTTAATGTTAATTGGCTGGCCAAAGTAAAATAAGAATGAAAGTAAGAGGTTGGTAATGAAAAGAAAATGAGGGAAAATCATTTTGGTTTGTTCTTTGCGTAGCAAACCTCTAATCAGAGGATGTAAGAAATGTCAACGAAAACACTAACAGCCGGTGTGAACAGTCTTCAGCCCATGAGCCCAAAACTCGTTTTCAAAGTGTTTTCGTTGTCGGTCAGAACATGGTATTAAGTTGAATTTAGTTGTTTTAATGTTATTCCTAACATTCGCATTCGCGAATGTGAAAAATATGACATTCGAAACATCCCTACTTGGTATATAGATATTCATTTAGGTACGTAAATTTGTATGAATGCATTTGGTTCGCATTTGAATTCGCACGACACACAATTTGACCAGGCAATAAAATACATTAATGAAAGTGAAATAAATGCCATTAAAAAAGCGCAATTCAAAAATAAAAAAAAAGGAAAAGCAAATGAAAATACACATCATGAATAGTCTTGTGTATACATACATACATATGTACATAAATAAAAGGTAACACACTGTGTGGCAGAGTATACAAGAAAAGACATAAATCTGGAAAAGAAATCCATTAAATTTGCAGATTCCCATAAAAATGAGCAACAATAACAAGTGCAGCATGAGCACAGAGGTGGAGTTGGAGGCAACAGCAGCCGCAGAAATAGCCGCAGCAGCAGCAAGCATGGTAAGCAATAAAGTTGGTTGGTTAGCCTGACCAGCCTGCCTTGTAAGGTATTCAATTATCCTATCGCGAAAGAGCATGCGGCGGCAGCATAGAAATAGACATAAAAATTTATTTGATTTATGCAAAGTAAAATACAGACAACAATGGACAAAATAAGCAACAAATAAGAAATAAAA